CGCTTGATATGATCGGTATTAACAGGGTCCTTGGCCGACAGTGCCCAACACGGGTGTGAGTGTGAGTGGGTTGTGTGTGGTGTGTGGGAGGGTGTTGGCCTTAGACACTGCTGTTATGTGGTTGGAGGAGGGGGATGATGAAAAGGGAGGCGCTGCTACTGGCAAAATGCCCGGTCTTTGCGTTAGCTGGACCCCCACCGGCGGCCCCACCCCATCCTTGACCACCATGGTTGGGGCGGGGGGAAACATGCATCCCCTCTGATGGCTGGATGGAGGGGTCCCCTGTATAAGCCTTAGGAGTAGTGGTAGGTAGGTAGTGAAGGTGAATTGAAAGAATTTGAAAGATAATGAAAGATCTGAGAGAAGAACATAGCGTAGTTAAAAAAAAAAAAAATCAAGCGGCCTAACTCAGTTGGTAAGGCTCGCAAGTGGCATTCAGGAGGTCGTGGGTTCAATCCCCATCGGCCTCATGTACCTTCCTGGGCATGCTTGGTGCCTGCCACCTAGAGATAGACCACTGGATCCGCCGATTGGCATTTAGCAGAGTCTGCTGATGTTCATAGGGGAGGGGACCTGAGGGGAGGCACAGGGATTGGTCCTGTTGGCATGGTCCCTGATGCTACCGGCTGTCCCCTAGCCGGTATCGCCCACCTGCAGGTGGGGAGGGGACCTGAGGGGAGGCACAGGGATTGGTCCTGTTGGCATGGTCCCTGATGCTACCGGCTGTCCCCTAGCCAGTATCGCCCACCTGCAGGTCGGGAGGAGCCCCCGCATGTTCTCTCGTGAACACGGTTCTGGCTGCTACGGGGTTCCCCGTATGCCTACAATTAGGAGTAGTGGTAGGTAGGTAGTGTGAGGTGAAATTGAGAGAAGAATATAGCTTTTTTTAAAAAAAAAAAAAAAAAAAGGGACACCGAGAGAGGGAGAGAGAACAAGTTAGTCTCCGTATCTTTTTTCTCTTTTGTGCATTGAATCCGAACACGCTAAAACGCGCAGTGGATGGCCAGCACATCCACGGAATACACCACGAACAGAAGCAACGCACATACAAATACACCATGAAAAAAGTACCGCGCATACGAACTGCGTATCTGCAAACCCAAATGCACCAGCAAAGCACAAAGCGAAGCGCAGCGCGGCAGAGCAAATGCATTGAATGTGAAGCATGCTGGCAGGATCGGACCGACCTTTCGCGAATCCCAAGTATGAACAACTCACATCGGACCAACGGCTGTGTTGGAGGCGGGGGGCAAGGTCCCACTCAGCAAACAGGAAACTCACGATAGATCTGCCGTTCGGCATCTGTGTAAAACACGTCCAGATTCAGGTGGTTAATCCAATCCTCTTTGCAAGTGGGACCTCGCCCCGGTAGAAGAAAGCTCTCCAAAACCCGTTTCATGACAACGCACGCGGAAAAGAACGCGCGGCGGATGTAGCAGATTCTGCTGGGCCCCCGCCCCCTGTCCCAAGCTTTTTCCCAAGACTGGACTGGAAGCCTGGCCTCGCGGGACCGTTACGCCAGACCCGGCTTACACTTCAGTAAGAGTATAGATATAGAAAAAGAAGAAAAAAAGAACCTTGTCCTTTTTCTCCAAGCAGGGCGATGGCCTTGAGATATCCTCAAACAGACCGGGCCCAGGTGCTTCAGATGCATGCATCTAGTTCGATTCATTCATCCAGTTCATATGAACGCGAACTCAGGGTTATCGGGATTTTTTTTTTTTTTTTTTTTAATATTAAACCGGGACTTCTTTACTGACCCGGGTAAGGGCCTCACCACACTACTCCCGACTTGGCCATTTTCGGGAGTGCAGCATCGCCACACCAGCTCCCGAGTTCAAGCTGTCAGATTGAACTCGGGAGCTGTCAGAATGTGCCTCCCGAGAGCACTCCTTCGCTCCTCCGAGTTTCATCCCAGATTCGGGAGTGGAGCCGGAAGGGACAGACTGCTTCACACTGATCGTGTCCATATGTGGCAAATGACATTTTCAGAATTTGAGCGCGGCCGGGTCGAGAGTGTAGTGTTCGAGCCGGTTTTCACTTCCGGGAGCACTCCCAAAAATTTTCCCAAGTCGGGTGCCGTGTGGCGAGGCCCTAAGTAGTTGTGGCCAGACCGGATGTAATTGTGTCCAGATACATCCATGAGATTGTACAGTGAACATGCTGGGAAGCCACTGGCCTAGCTCAGGGCATACACACACTAGGCCCTCAGAATCACAAAATCGCAAAATGAGCGGCCAGATCTAGTCCTTGGTTTACAAGGACTGGATCTGGCTGCTCATTTTGCGATTTTGTGATTTTGAGGGCCTTCGTTCTTCCCCCCATTACGAGGTACGGTAATGATTGCTCTGTATTTGGGGTATGTTTCAGTCTACATACAGCCATAATGACCGTACGTTGTATTCGAGGAAAAAGGTAGTGTGAGCATGCCCTCAGTTTGTACGCCAAGACCTGAGTTCTGATAGTGTGAGCATGCCCTCAGTTTG